CGACTCCCAATGATGGATGTTCGGGAGCTACACCTCATCTTGTGGATGATTTCGAATCAGCATTTCAGGTTTCTGTTTGCTTAGAGTAGCTTAAACTTGAAATGCATTGCATTCATTAATTTTACATCAAGGCAAATTTTTAAAATATTGTTATTAAGAAATTGCTGCATCTATTCAGACTCGGGTGCGTAAAATCGTCCGCAGACTATTGAATAGGGCCGCCCGGGGGGGGGGGGGGGGGGGGGGGGCTAATGTGTAAAACTCCATATTAGCGTATTTAGTATTTTATTCTCCGCTTCTTGTTTACCTCCAGTTGAGCGTATTTTATTATAATAACCGAAACACTAAAACATTAGGAAAACATGATTTATTTAGGCCTAGCTAGGCCTATTTGTATTTTATTTTTGTTTTAACAAACAAATGAATAAAAAAAAACAAAGAGACTGACTTTGTTATAGATTTTGATAATTTACTTTTGTCAAAACTTGAGCAAAATCCAAATTTAGAATAAGGAATGTGCCATGTTCATGTGTCAGAATTTTCATGGCAATGGGTGAAGTACATGATAAATGTAACTCACAATTGCAAGGCGGTTAAGTTTGTATTGTTACAATTATCTCCCAGGCATGATACTATAAATAAACATTTATGAACTTACAATGACCCAAAAACTGAGGCCAACACAATTTCAAACAGCTATTGCCCTAGCTATGACCTATGCTAATAATTAAAGTCAATGTGAAATCACGGTGAACCCGTGACAGTGTAAGCATTTTTCTCCCGCTGACGATCACACGATATTTAATTGGAACAGTTCTAATGCTTTTTTATGTTTTTTTTTACCTTTTCCAATTAAAAAACACATTCATCAAAAAAAGTATATCTAGCTCTAATCTAATCCTAGTTTTTTTCTAACGTGTTTGTGTGTTTTGGTTGTGTTGATAATAAAATACGCTCAACTGGAGGTGAATGTGAAGCGACGCAAATAAAATACGCTAAAATGGAGTTTTACCGATAGCTGAATAATTATAATAAACCAAAATCAATGGCTAAATATTAGTGATGTTTTCAAACCTAAAATCATAAAGGAGTGGTCATTGCTAACAAAAATTTTGGCTACCTAAACTGGCATACGATTGGACATATTTTTTTTCTATGTTCAAGTCACTATGTCAACATTAACTTTAAAATATTAATCGCGCAAAAAATGATGGGTTTTTTTTTTTTGTAATGTAGCCTAATGTAAGTTATTTTTAGATGATAGTACTATGCCAGGAAAAAATTTTGATTTGCTCCCGATAATGTAGACCAAACGTAAAAATTGGTCAACATTGTGCTTTGTAAAAATTTTAAACACTAAAAAAAAGTGTGCTGTGGCGGGCAATGCTTCGCTTGCTGACAAAACAGCGCAAGCGAGCTGTCTGCCATGCATGGCCCGTGACGATTTCTGGATTGCATTTTTCATGCTCTCGGGTGATGAATTTTAATGTGATGATATTTTTAAATAGAAAAATCTATTAAATTAACAAAATATGTAATACTCCGTTAAGTAAATATTAATTTTAGGGTAAGCCTAAATAATAGTAATGGGGTAACGAAATCAAATGTGCTGCACATTATGTTTAAAATCAAATGGGTTGCCTTGTCGAGACTGTAAAGTTCACATCTTCAGACTGATCTGAGGTTGTCACGGAAAAATTTTCCTGAACTGCAGTGGGTCGCAAATAAATTCAATTAGATAATTAAGCTTCAAATGAGCTATTGCCATCAAGTAAAGTGTTTAATAAATTAGATATAGATCTATATTTTTCATTGGTAATGTTTAAATCGAACAATAATGAGATTTAAAATTTAATGAGAATCGCTACAAAATATATCTAGAAATAACGTTAAACAGCCTTGTTTGCGAGCAAGATTTGCTATATAAACAACGGCCATCTGTAAACTAGAATGCTTGAACATGAATCTCTAGCTAAAGTGTTACCAAAAAACTTAAACACGATGGCTGCTATTAAAGTAAATGAGCTTGGTTGCTAATCTTTTTTTATTAGGCTGTAAAATCTTAGTTTAGCGTAGTAAATTCCAATGAAGCTATTAATGTGCTGTGGAGGTAACTAATGAATGTTTTAATTTGCAACGCCTTTTGCATGGACAAAATTGTCAACTTTGAATTAAATAAATTGATTTATTTAACCTTATGAAAGTTTGTTTATTTTTACAGAATTGCATTTCTTTATTGACTTCACAAGAAAATTTCAATGTTCAGGATTCAGAGGAGACCAAAATGAGTAAACTAAATACTATTCATTATTTTGGGAATTGACTACGGTTACTAATAAATTTCAATTTCATGCTCTCTAAAAAACATAGTCTAATGCCTAGGCCTACTTAGCACAAGATTATAATCAGATAAAGTAGTACACGTGACAGATCAGACTTGTCAAAATAAAATTCCAACTCAGTAGACTATGATAAACTAAAATATTGAATAATCCAAATCGACCAAATTTACATATCTAATAACCATATCAAAGTTAATAGTAATCAGTCAATCAACTTTTATGCATGCCTGTTCCCAGCCAACTGCAAACAGTGTTCATTTTAAAAAAATTTGTTGATGTCTAGTTTTTTCTCTGATTTCACTTTAGCCTTAGTATATGAGATAAATAAAATTGTGGCATTTTAAATTTTTCAGGCGTTGAAAATAGTATACAGAGATTCCTAGAGTCAGCTAGACAAATGGAAACATTTTTCCTCAATAAAAGATTAGTTTTATCTGCATCAAAGCCGGAGCATGTGTTAAATGAGGTGTGTTTATGATAGTATATATATTTTACTAAAAAGTCTTTAAAAAACTAATGAATCCTAGCAAAATGACTCTGATATTTTATTTGTTTAAACTAGAATATATTAACCTTTAAAGGGTGTTATTAATTGAAGTTCTATTAGATCAAATTATTGTCATTTGGTAACTTTCATGACATTTAGCTTGATAAATGTATTCACAAATGTCTTGTTTTAAATATAGGAAATTGTTGAACTAAAAGCTGAACTAGAACGCAAGGAAAAACTGATTGAGAAACACCATGAAAAGTTACCAAAATGGCAAGCATCTCTCAGGGCAAACGTCCCACCACCAGCAACAACACCTTCTAGTCCTTTCTCTGGCACACAAGTACCACCTCACCAGGCTATGGCACAGATGCCCCCTATGGGCTCTAATGTGGTGGTTAATCCAGCAATGATGAGCCAACAGCCTCCCAATATGGCACCTGGTCAGTACCCAGGTCCACCGGCTGGTCATCCTGGACAGTATAATATGCCACCACCTGCCTATCCTCTGGCTTATTTGGAAAGGATGTAATCTCTGCACTCTGCTGATGAGTAGCCCTCTCTTGTTGGGTTGTTGTTTTTTTTTTTTAAATAAAAGTTTACTTTAAAATGAATTTGTTAATAAACTGCATTATTGTTCCCCATCTTTTTGGGCAATTTTTTAAACTAGTGGGCTCCTTACCATTATTGTTATTTTCACAGGGATCAATTATGATGCTGATGTTGTTTTCTTAAAACTTGAGTTTTAAAAAGTAGGCCTATACATATGTTTATGATTAAACAATGAATTAATGATTGCTCTTTATGGTCAGACAAGGTAGATTGAAAGCTATACTATGCTTACAGTTTTTTAAAGATTATTTTGTTATTGTATCTGATAATTTTCTTGTAAATTTGTACATATATTGTGACATATTTTGGAATATTAAAATGTATTTTAAAAGCCTTTTATCTACTGATTTTTGTGAAGATATATATATATATATATAACTAATTTTAGTATATTTTTCATTTAAATTCTGAGTTTTAAATCATACAGTTTATTTAATATAAAATAAAAATAACAGATTAATATTTAAAATGTAAGCAGATATTGAACCACACACATAGTATTTAATGTTTATCAACCAAGTCAATGAAAATATTTTCATCCAATTTTTAAAAAATTATTTGGAATTCTTGTTTTGAAGAAGTGTACTAAATTAACCTTATTTTAGAGGTTCTCAAACCAGATCCGTCATTTTGGTCAACATTTGTTATTGTTTTTCAGTATTCATAGACTGATGAGGAAATTAGTCATTAATGTTCTTGGTGAAACAATAACTTGAGTTCTCATGTCCTAATTTTTTTCACAGACACATCCAGGTTGTTGAATTCTACAAAGTTTAATGTCCCAGTAGCAAAATAACACCTTGTCCACACTCCCTTTTACTTTTACTGAGGTATAATAACGATGTATGAAGCTAATTATTTTACAGGAGGGACAAGGTATTTCAACCAGAGTTATATAGTACCAGATTTATATATTTATATAATGATTGATGTATTTAATTTTGGTCTACAAAAACAAAGTACATAATAATAATTCTGATAGGAAGAGTGTTGAGTCAGAGTTGAATTAGAATTTACTTAGTATATCATAGGCCTACACTAGTATTCAAACTAGGATCACTTAGCCATTTATTCAATTGGGCTCAGAACTTGTGAGTAAATAAATCATGTGTCATGCTATTCAATATTTTTTTTCCTTATTATTTTTATGAACAAAAAAGTTATTGTTATCGGAATGGTACTCTATCTATAACATCTATTTTAAATTCATAGTGATGGGTGATTCTTATCAGATTCTTCTACCTTTGACTGCATTTTTTTAAAGATTGCCACACCACACACAATCTAATTTATATCTCTCTAAAATGGCTTAACTAGCAGAAAGTTGAACATGATTTTATGTGGGCTGTTTTAGAAACCTCATGCAAATATATGAATAGAGGTACAGAAACATTGCAATCTCACACAACTTCAAGAACAATATTATATATGGGCCCAGATGTATGTTTTAACTAGAGGTGTCCACAGTGTTATTGCATGATAAATTAATTAACTACTGGGTAAGCTTATACTTAAATTTTAACTTAGGGGTTGGAGGCGTAAAAAATAAATAAAGCTGCTGTTGAATAGTGAATCATGATTATAATGCAGAAACAGTTTTTTTTTCGGTTGGAAACTATAGCCCTTAAAATATATCATGTGGCGCTCTGAAAATTGTTTTTGAAATCATGTATGAACAGTAAAATAATAGAAGCAAAAAATGTTTTGTTTAAAAAAAGCAAGTATATAATGTGAGATGCTAGGTCTAGCTCAAAACTGAAATGGTTAAACCAGGTTGCGTGTTGATTACTAAAAGTTCATCTGGAGAAGGTCAAGGTAATGAAAGTTTCCAGTATCAACACCGTACAACACAACATAATTGTATAGTGCAAACTGCGTTGTGTAATACTGTAATACTAATTTAGTTTACATCAACTTAGGCCTACATAATGCTTTAAACTTGAAATGAATATCATATATCATACCTTTGTTGAAAGAAACAGATCTATTTTGTTAATGAATTGCAAACAGCTATTGTAAATTTAATTTTTAAAAGTAGGGGGAATCTTGTAGGGCAATGTAGGGCCTATTTAGAAAAATAAAATAGCGTACCTGTCGCATGTTGCTGCAACCTACTTTTACGCACAGAGTGACGCAACATTTTATGAGGGTTTCTTTCCTGTATTTTTAGATGGTTGGTATTGTTCTCTAAAACTGAGTTATTTAAATGCAAAGCTGACGCTGTATTTTTTTATTATATTTTTTGTGGCGCGGGGTTGTCCAGACTACCGCTAGACGCCTGGGCGTGCTGTATGAAAGGTTTGAGTGTACCTTTAATCACCATCCGTTGCAGTGTTTCTTCCAGACTTTTTTTCTCCGGGGGGGGGGGGGGCACTTGAAATTTTCGGGGGGGGGGGGGGGGGCGGACACTGTTAAAAGTATATATTTTCTATATAAATTATATAAATTTCATTGCGGGGGGGGGGGGGGGGGGGGGGGGGGGGCGGTAAAAAAATTTCGGGGGGAGGGGGGGGGGCTTAGCCCCATTCTTGAAGAGATGCCTGGAAGAAACTCTGATCCGTTGAGTTAGAACACTTCTCGGCGATCGCCCCAGAGGCGTAGCGACCCTTCCCGGCGCCCGGGGACATACTTTCAATTTGGCGCCCCCCTCGGGAGCAAATTTTCGATTTGCACCCCCCCCCCCCTTGAACTTTTCATTTGCACCCCCCCCCCCTCAAACTTTCGATTTGCACCCCCCCCTTTGAACTTTTCATTTGCACCCCCCCTCAAACTTTCAATTTGGCGCCCCCCCTAAGGTCGGCGACCGGGGACATATGTCCCCCCCCCCCGCCCCCCCCCCTCGATACGCCTCTGGATCGCCCAGGTGAGGGGGACGCTTTCCGGAGCCACCAGTTGCACTACCGCAGAGGCGCCGGATGTTTCCCCTGGTTCAATTTAGCCCACCGCGCTACTAGTGTACAGCACTCTTTCGTCCGCTGGTGCGCGTGTTAATTTAGGACGCCGGTAGACGTGCCTGGTGTAGTTTGATCTTTGAATTAAGTAGTCCTCTCACCACCTGTGCGGACGCCCAACCAACTGATCTCAGGTGCTAAGATGGGGAAATCTGGGCGCTGCTCCGCCGAAATTGATTCGTTTGTAATTGCAAAAACCTTTACAGTAGTATTGTGATCAAATTCCCAGTTTCATGGCGAACGCTTGAAAGGTTTAATATTGCACAAAAGACGCGCATACGCACATACATTCATTTATATGGAGATAGTTTATATCCCAGGCAGTGTTTCTTCCAGAAAGCCCCCCCCCCCCCCCGAAGAGATGCCTAGAAGAAACTCTGATCCAAGGAATATATGGGATCCAAAAACTATTTTGTTGTAGAAAGTGTGCGCAATAACTTTGACGTGTTTGTCTTCAGGGGTCATCCATACATTACGTCACTTTTTTAGGACTATTTTTACCTTCTCCTCCCCTTTATGACCTCCCCTCTCCCTAAAATGAGAGCACACCTCAGCCTATAAATGCAGTTACATTTTTCTTAAACATCGATTATTTTCTAAAATCTTGACTGGGCTTGGTCAATATGGAGAATTTTAATCAATTTCTATTGGAATTATTAAAACAGTTTTCTAAACACGAGTAAATAACGGTTAAAATTCGTTTCCCAACAATCTTTTTTATAATGTAAAAAATGTAACACAAATGTATTTGAACCCCTCCTCCTCATCACACACCGTTACATAAATATGGACCCCCCCCCCCTCCACCTACGGGTGACATAATTTATGAACGAACCCTCGGATATATTAAAATAAAAATTATTGTTTGGTTAAACATTTTAACAGAATTTAGCTTTAAATATTTTTATAAAAAATAGATCTATTTATTTTATCAATGTTCTTCTACCAGCATTTTAATTTTTATATAGCTATGTTTATTTTGAGTTGTTTTTTTTTTCTTTTTTTGCAAGTGTTTTCTCTAACGACCTCTGTTTAAAAATTCACAGGGGAATTAAAAAAAAAACAGAACTGATTGGATTGGTCATGGTAAGTGGGAATCTTACCAGACAAAATATTTCCTTTAAAAAATGTGTTTTATATGCAGAATGTAAACCTTTATTATCGTTAAAACGAATATAGGCGCCATAAGGTTCACGGGGAGCGGCACATACGATAACTCGAGCGCCGGGGCATGCTCCTGGTGCAGTGTGACGATAGCTATATATCGATTATGGATTTGCTACTCCCCTACATAAAAAATCTGTGAACGCCCCTGTAGTAAGGGCAACAGATTTTCATGCGGGTCCCGGGCTGATCTGTTACGCCACTGATAGTACTATAAAAACAGAATCATTATTGTACAAATAGGCCTACTTATTTTTATGGTATTTACACTAACCAAGGAAATAACAATATTAAATAAAGAACCATAACCGAGTGTGGTTTACAATTGTAATATTTTACAACCAAGTGATGACTAATGAATACGGTTTAGTAAAAACTAAACTGTAGTAGAGTAGTAGACTTATTATAATTATCGGGTAGATCAAAAAAGGTAGAGTGAATTGATTAAATCTAAGACTAGTCGGTGTATTTTTTATACCAGTGTCCCATAATTGCACAATAATAGAATCGTAAAAATTAAAAAGGGGTGTTAACTCAAACTCACTACTACTAGTACTAGATCTACTACTAGCTAGATTCTAGATTATATAATATATATTAGATCTACTATTCTATTACTAGACTCGGTAAAATCTTAGTTTAGCGTCGTAAATTCCAACGTAGCTAGTAATGTGCGATGAAGGTAACTAATGAATATTTCTTTCATTTGGCCATATTTATGTCATATTTTACATAATATAACAGATAATTGAATAACAAATCACAATCCAAGACCAAACCAGTCATAAATATCCTGGAATAAACTTTAAACTACCCCGTTCGAGACAACAATGAGTAAATTCAAGCAGCGGCCATGTTTCAAAAACAATAAATTGTCTATTCGCATGTCTTTTGTGTTGATTTTGTGGTTTAATATGATTGCTTTGTATTGTTTTAATACATGCCTGGGGGTCGTCCATAAATGACGTCACACTCGTAGGGGGGAGGGGGGTCCGTAATTTTGTGACGTTGTGTGATGAGGGGGAGGGGGGGTTCACATGGTGTGACGAATTTTAGACGTAATTTTGCGTTTTAGAAAACTGTTTTAATACATTGTAATAACAATTCATTAAAATACTCTATTTTGACAGAGTTCAGACAAGATTTTGGAAAAATATAGCTGTTTAAAAACAATTCAACTGCAATTTTGAGGGGGGTTGTAGGCTGAGGTGTGACGTCACTTTAGGGGGGTGGGGGGTCTGGCTTTTTGTGACGACGTGTGGGGGAGGGGGGGGGTAAAAATCGTCAAAAAAGCGTGACGTCGTTTATGGATGACCCCTTGTATAGTAATTTTTCTTTTTTTTAAATATAGTTGACATGAATGACTAATAGACTTTTTCAGACTTAATAGTGTGCATCCAAGACCACAACAATTGTTGGGAGGTCGAACTTTTGAACACTTTATTTGCAGTAATCAAATCAATATTAGATCGCACATAAATGACGTCGCTCTTATGATATTAATGACAGCGTGAATTATTACAGAGCAAACATATGAACATATTGTTTCAGATAGAAATTGTGATTTGTGGCGGGGAGAGGTTGAGTAGAACTCAGCGATGTGATTTTGGAGACGGGTCAGGTTTTTTTTTTTCGTGAAAACAGGGGATGGTTGTGGGAGAAAGACCAGCTGTAGAAGTATGACGCGTCATTCATTGGTGATCCATTTTCTCAGTGGGGACGATAGAACTATTAAGAAGGGTCAAGAAATGTAAAAAGCTTGCCTAGTCGCATTTCTTGAACCCCACCTTTTTCATTCCCCCACTTAGCACATCGTCAACGAGTTAACGCTCGCACGTGACGTCATGTACCGGTACCGCCGACCGTTAGGCTAATTTTATAGAAAAAAAAAACAACAAACACTGGCTTTTTGACGCTTTTGCGACGTTTAATTTGATTACATAAGTTGGTGTTCATTAAACAGCCCCTAACACATCTATCACTCGTCCATTTAAACGTACGTAGTTATTTCAGCAAGCTTGCTGTCTTGAGACTTTCGGCCCTTTAAAAATGTATTAAACTCTCACCGTGTAGAACTAGACTACCCATATTTAGCTCCAAAAGAAGCTGGGTGAAAACAGGGTGGGCGTCCGATTTTGAAGCTGCTCTGCGCTTTATAAAAAGCACAATAAACTATAAGATGACACTTATATTAAAGTAAATTATAGTTCTGAATCTTGATACATTAAAAGTGATGTTCGGAAATTAAGAGCCAGACAGTCAACATGATAATTCAATTTAAGTCCAAGAAAATAAATTTCCTCAAACGATGGAACATTACTAAATTTTCGCGCAGTTTAGCGAAGTTGAATTTAAGTATTTACGTCATCTTATACAGCGCGATAGCCATGCTAATGGCCGTATTCCTAACGCCCCGCATTAGACGCGGCTTATTCGTCGGCAGGCATTTGGTGGAAAGACTTTTTGACGGGTATAATGTGTTGCGGCCGTTTTGCCAAATGTCTTAAACTAGCAGGCTTGCAACATTTGTGATGATTCGTTTAAGCAAGGTATACATATACTAATGCTTATTTATCGTTATTTTGATTGAACAAAGCATTACAGAGGTTCTCCATCAACCACATAGGTATTTTTCCCCGTTCACCTCCTTTCATGAGACCGACACGTCATAAATTGTGGACCCGCCTGAGTTGACGTCACAAATCTTCACTCACTCCCGTAGCAAATCATATGTGACATCATTTATGGACAACCCCATATCACTCACTTGGGTACTTGATATTGACATTTTGACAACAAAGGATAACCAAAATGTGTCTGGCAGGTTGAGACTTGCGATCGACCATAATGACAACACGCACTTAAGGGGTGGACTGGCTCATTGTTTTAGATGATGTTTTACGAGGGAAGCTGGTGGATAATACATTTTGTCTCTCTGTATATATAAATGATGGCAAACATTTATTGTTGTCAAAATTATGGCTAGAGATCTTAGATCAGGCAGAGGAAAGCGTAAATTTTTACATTATGACTTGTTGTGACATTTACGACAAAAATATGACGGAGGTTGGGGTTTAATTAAGGTAAAGAGAAGTAAAAAAATGTCATAAGTTACAATAGAATTACTAATCGATGAAAAGAAAAACCTGAAATGAAAATAGTGAACATTCAAACAATAAGAAAAAACTCAAATTATATAGTAATAGTAAAATCAAATAAACATTAGTAAAAAAACGTGATTTAATACATGGATACAAGTTGCATCTCACAATGCTTCTAGAATTAATAAAGTTGTTTGTTAGGAAATTCACATTTTAAAAAAATGCTTTGTAATACGGACTATACAACAAGACAATCATATTTAAATACATTTTCATACGAATAGAAATGAAAGGGAAGCTACTCTCAATAACATTTTCTTAAGATGGCTGCTGTTTTTAATAGCAAATTTACTATCTCGAACAGGGTTGATAAAAATTAATTTCAGGATATTTAAATTGATTTAACCATAAATGGTGATCTATTATTCAATTATCGGTAATCTATCGCTTTAGCGTAATCAATTCGGTCGTCACTAGTAATGTAGGGATAAGGTAACTAATAAATATGGCTTAAATATGGATATATTTTTTAAAATTTTACTAAAATACTAAAGATAATTGAATATTAAACCACATTTAAGGTTTAAATCAATAAAAATGTAAGGAAATTAAAGTTTAACAACGATGTTACAGATACTAAATTTGCTATTAAAAACAGCGGCCATCTTAAGAAAATATTATTTTGAGTCATTTCCCTTTAATTTCTATTTGTATGGAAATGTATTGATGTTTGCTGTTAAATAGGTTAGTCTTGTGTTTAAATACAAAGCATGCGTTGTTTTTTTTTTAAATTCTGCCCTTTAAACAATTTAATTGACTGACAATAAACATCAGTTCTATAATTATTATTATGAGATGCAATTTTTATACATTAAGATACTCCCTATTTTTATAGAGCTACCACTACATATCTAATGTTTATTTAAATATTAGTTTGAGTTCATTCTTATTGTTTGTGTTATTGTTTCAATCGAAAATTGAAAGTTTGTCGCCTCTGGGGGGTGACACCATTAAGTGCCGCACCGGGTGACACTCGACCTCGCTACGCCACTGAGCTAATGTAAAGCCACAGCTCAGTATAGGCTTGAATTTAACATAAAATAGTGTTAGCAGTGGACAGCCTCTAAGACTGTGCATTAGGAGTACGGCCGTCGGCAAAACGCCAAAGTCTGACGATATCTGAACATCAATTTTGTCTTTTATGAAGTGCGGAGCACCTTTAAGACCTGAGCTTGGCCCCTGTTGACACCACCACTAGCGCCGCTTATGTCCACATATTAATCACACGTTTTGCGTGGAGCTTAATGGACAGACGTTTATAGGTGGGACCGGGAGCCTAAATGCATTTACCGAAGCCGCTGTGTCAAGGGCATTTTAGAGCCGAACGTCTCAGGGCAGCAGGTTGCAGAAATTAAAAGCACGTGAATTTGTATAGTAGAGGGAGAACATCATGCCACTGTAATAAATTAAACGCCAATATAATTCACCGAACTAAAGTTATTTAGATCTATTCGTCAGGCTAAACGTCGTTAAAGTCTCATCGCCATAGTGATTTAGGGCCTGTTTTGATTTTCTTTTAATTACGCGGTATCTTTCTTAAACATTAGCCTAATGACAAATGACGTCACGCGCGCCGCGAACTTTGTGACGTTGTGCTTAGTGGGGGATGAAACGGCGTGGTTGAGAAAAATGACGTATTTCTTTTTTTTTTTTAACAGACGAATAAGTGATAGATTCTAATTTTCCTACAAACTATACGTTGATCTAGTTGTTTTTTTTTCTAGAGTGGGCGATTTATATATAATCTCAATATATTCTGATCTACTACTATTCATACGGCAACTATTATACTCGTGAGGAGGACGGGAATCACTCTTATGTTCCGCAGACACTAATTAACAATGTCAACAACTTAGTTTATGAAATAACATGAACTTAATTAACACACACTTATAGATCATTTTCACAATATCAAATAATACATCCGTCTTCTACTATATCTAACCCCCATCTAACTTCACTGCTGCGTCTTACGTCATCGGTACATTGTCGCACCATGCTCACGTCACACTCACGCCACACATATTTTATTGAACACGCGCACAATACTCTCGCACCAAATCGTCTACCGTCAAGTTCGTACCGTCCTTAGTAACCTCTACTCGTCTAGTCTAATTCTATATATCTACGCTATGACACATATAGTGGGTGGTTTTTTTTGTGTGGTAATAATGGATGGTGGGGAGGGGTAAACATTGACTACTGAAGAAATCAAAAACTGATGACAGCAGAAGGCAAAGAAAAAAAAACAACAAACCATGTGGTATTCAAATGTAATTAATTAAAATTTGAACCTATTTTAAAAAACACAATAATCTTAATTCAGAAAAAGTGTAGGCCTAAGACTAATGTCTACAGACAAAATAAACAACTAGGCTTAATTAAATGGATCGCCCATAAATGACGTCATACTTTTCCCGACAATTTCCCTCTCACCCAATAGTTACTAAAAGCAAGATGATGATTTAATATCATATCGCAGTTCTACTATACCCGAACCCTTAATCACAATTTCTAACGAAAACGAATATATTCATTATTTTTGAAAAAAATATTTTACACCGTCCCATATTTTGAGTCCAACGTCATTTATGAGGAATATGGACAACCTAATAATTGACAAGTTAAGGGGTCATCCATAAATGACGTCACGCTTTTTTAATACGATTTTTACCTCCCCCCTCCCCTCCGTCACACGTCGTCACAAAAAGTCAGACCCCCCCCCCTAAAATGACGTCACACATCAGCCTACAACCCCCCCCCCCCCCCCACAAAATTGCAGTTGATTTTTTTTTTTAAACATCGATATTTTTCCAAAATCTTGTCTGAAATATGTCAAAATATAGTATTTTAATCAATTCCTATTATAATTTATTAAAACTGTTTTTTAAAAAGCTAAATAATGTCTAAAATTCGTTTTCTAACATTTCTTATCTATAAAGCAAGTGTGACGTAGCACCATCTGAACCCCCCCCCCCCCCTCCCCGTCATCACACATCGTCACAAAATTACCGATCCCTCCCCCCTACGATTGTGACGTCATTTATGGACGACCCCTAATCAGTACAAAAGGGTTTAGTAAATGTTGGACCTCCCAAAATTTTTTGAGATCTTGGATGTACATACATACATAGCCTTCATTTCACTTGAAAATGAAATTAAAGATAAGAAGACGGCCCTCTGTCTTACTTATATTAAACAAGACAGGTATGTATATTAAACAACAAAGTCAACACAATATACATACGAATAGACATTTTTATCCAGGGAAACTACTCTAAATTTTATTTGGAAAGATGGCCGCTGTTTTTTTTCTACTAATATTTATCTCAAACACCTAGTTTAAAGTTAGTTTCATGTTATTTAAATTGTTTTGGTCACTGTTTGTTATTTTAAATCAATTATCTGTGATATTTTGTAAAATTTGACTTAAATAAACTTATTTAAACAAATATATTCATCAGCTACCTCTCCCGCACATTACTATTGCAGCCGAATTGATTACGCTAAAACGATAGATTACCCAATTATCTATAATACTTTATCAAAATATACGAAAATATACTCATATTTAATGACATATTCACTCATATTTAATGACATATTCATTAATTCACTCTCTCCCACATTACTAGTTTTGGCCGAATTTACGACGCTAAACTAAGATTTTACCCTAGACTCTAGCTAGATCTAGATTCTAGTATTACAGTTACACACACAGTAATAATGAGTAATAGAGTTTGTATGATGAGTATACTATACTATAGTAATACTATAGTATGAGTCTATGAATGTCTCAGCTCAGTGTATGACTGAGTACTAAACTAGTCCTACTACTACTACTTTTACTAGAGTACTAGATCTAGTAAACTAATCAAAATGAGTTTGAGTTGAGCCTGACATTCAGACACTAAAAATACTAAAATGTAAATTTATTCCACACATTACCGTTACCTACCTTCCTCTGAATTCTCCTAATGACCTAAAATGATGATACTGAGTGATCGATTAGCCATCATTAGCAAAATCATTTCGGAAATGTCAATGTCATAATCTGCCCAATCCTAGTCCTACAACTGCCCCTAACATCCCCAAGTCTATGCCATTGACTTTTAATTTTTAATACTATGAAACTAGACCCCCCCCCCCCCCATCTCTTTTTTTTAAGAAGACTCCATTAGTGTGAAATACAACACTGATATGAAAAATACTTCCAATTTACTTTACAGTAAGTGGGCTGATAGATAGCCTAAAACTTGCGGAAACTAAATTATTGTTTAACTGTCATTTCTTTTTTAACATATTGTTTTTTGTTTTTCAAGAATCCTCAATGGCTGCTCCGGCACCAATAAAGATTGGTACTCGGGTTGAAGTTATTGGCAAAGGTGTTATTGGAACTGTTGCATTTATAGGGACAACAGTTTTTAGTCAAGGTATTATTCTTTTTTATGGCTATTCTCCATATCAAATATATTTTATTGGTTTTAACTGAATCATATCAACTGTATTTAAATAAAAATCCATGTATTACATAGCAACTACATTTCTTTTAAACAGGAAAATGGGTTGGTGTTGTACTTGATGAAGCCAAGGGCAAAAATAATGGCACTGTGCAAGGGAAAACCTATTTCACTTGCCCGGATGATCATGGTATATTTGTTAGGCAATCACAGGTAATTGGGTTGTGTAGCATTTTTTAATTAAGGATCTAACAGTAGGCAAAAAAAAACAGAAAAAAATTTAGTTTAAATTCATTAGAATTTTAAAAAATATATTTCAACTCCATTAATTGGTTCATTACTTGATGATTAATTTGGTTATTACTTGATGAATGTAATTTTATACTGTCTGACTGCTGTTTGTCACTGTTAGTTTAGTAAAGTTTCCTATAATTATTCTACATCTTTACTTCAGAAATATAAAGTTAATAAAGGCAACTAGATTTTACCAATTTTAAATATAAACAATGTGAATATCATATTGTATGTATGTTTAGATCACACCTTTAGAAGACCAGGAACCTGCTAAAGATGCACCTGCCACTACTGTACCTGCCACACCTCGCCAGAGTGCACTACGCCCTCCTAATAGTCGACCTATCAGCACACCAGCCACTACAGGGAAAAAATCTGGCCTCAGACCTCCTGGATCCATGACAAAAAGTATTCTATTTAAAAACTTGTTGAATTGTATTCTCATCAGATATTTTAATATCTACCAAAAAATATTCAGCTAACTAAATTTAATCCACAATAATTTTGAAAATATACATTAAAGAAATATAAATTTCTGTTATTAAGCAAACTTTTTTTGAAATTGTTGTGGATTATTTTGTTGAAATTGTTTTGTCATATTACCATTATGCTCTTGCCAAAAGAAAAACATTTATTTGCAGGTACTGAAAGCCTGGGAGAACCTGCCACCCCAGCGCCCGCAGCAGCCGAGGTAAAGACTAAACCAGCTCCTGACCCTGGCGCTACACCTGCCTCCAAACTTACTCGCTTACCTCGAGGTAGTAAAGAAACAACTCCAGCAGATGACAAGGTCGCTAGTGCACCAGAGCCAGTTACAGCACCATCACCCATCCCAGCCGCCATGCTGGCTCAGGAAAATCTGGCTCCACCTTCACCACATGCATCCCAGGTAACTTAACTTTTTTATTTTGACTTCTACATTTCAGAAAATATATATCATAATATTATTTGACTTATAGAAATATTCTTTTTCATTTTTAGTTTCAATTTCGGACACTATTTTTATATTCAGATGAACCTGAGTCAGTTGAGTGCAATGTCCAGTTCCCAGTCATCCATAGATGAACGCTTGACCAATGTCCAGCAGCAGCAAGAGATTGAAGGGCTGAGGCTTGAGGTCAAAGACCTCAATGAAAAGCTGGAGACCTTGAAAATGAAAAGAGCTGAAGATAAGCTCAAGTTGAAAGAATTTGAGAAAACAAAAATTCAGCTACAGCAGGTGAGCCTAACAGTTATTGACATAACCATTGTAGCATACTTTTTTTTATATCAACCAGTGGTGTATATAAGTCTTCATTGCTCATACTGTGAAATAATTTTATGATCTTTAGCTGTATATAAAATAGGAAACTTATGTTTTTTTACCTGTATAAATTTAGCTTCAAGAATATAAATCTAAGATGCAAGAAACACATGTTGAACTTCAAAGACAGTTACAATCATCAAAGAAGGTAAAAAAATTGTTGCATTTTAATTAATTGATTTACATTAATTTGGGTACCAAATTCAGTAGTTTTACACTCAACTGGATACATGATTAATAATACTAGTCTGTATTCCCATGAACTAATTATCAGGAACTGTCAGAACTACAGCAAGAGTATGAGACCTACAAAGAAGAAATGGCAGATGTGACTGAAACTGTTGAAATGGCCACACTAGACAAGGAAATGGCTGAAGAGAAGGTAAGCACTACACATTGTGCACCTTTAAAAGGTTTTAACTAGTTTAGTTAATTTCTTATGACTAGTGGCAGTAGTCCTATTTAAAAGAAATGATTCTTGAGGCTAATGTGAAGGTCTATTTTAGGCTGAAAGTCTGCAGGCAGAGCTGGATTCTATGAAAGAAAAGGTTGAAGAGCTCACACTTGACCTTGAACTGATTCGAAATGAAATATCTGAAAAAGGTAATTAAAAATGCCATTTTACTACCTTTTATCAGAGCATGATAGATCTAACCTGGAACGTTATCTAATTATTCCTTGTGCGTGATTGTACAACATTACTGTTGTTGATTCCTAGGTACTGATGGTGTTGCTGCTACATTTGAAATGAAACAAATGGAACAACAGAATGAGAGAATGAAAGATGCTCTTGTCAAGTAAGACAGCTTCATTTCATACTTTTACAAACATTTCAATGTACTGAATCCATTGATGTCACATTAAAAAACTCTTCTTTGTAACATTGAAAAATTAAATTTATAAATTTTAGACAATGCTCTATGAATAAACCTTATTTTATTATATAAGACTTAGTTTCTATAATTTAAATATTTAAATATGTATTTTAGGCTTCGAGATATGTTGAACTCTGAGAAACAGGACAAACAGCGCAGTGAGAAGCTGGTAGAAAAACTTGAATCAGAGCTAACTGTGTTGAGGAAAGACAAGGAGCGTTTACAAGGGCAGGTGGCAGTGTATGAAAAGGAGATGATAGATCTGAAGGAACAAGTGGATGCTGCATTGGGCGCTGAAGAAATGGTGGAACAGCTGACAGAGCGTAATCTCAAGCTGGAGGATGACATCAGGGAGATATTAGAAGAAAAGAATGATCTGGTGAGAGCTTTGCCTGTGATTCAAAAGTTATTAAAGGGCATGAAGATGCCCTGGTTATTTGTTTTTAAGTCAGAAATTCAATCATATATATTTGCTTCACAATACCACATCATATTAAATGTTTTTTTCTGGTAGCTCATTCTACAATTAACTGTGAAAGGAATAACAAAACATAGCTTATATATGGACTCTCAGTATTGTTTACATATAAAGAAAATGTTAGTAATACAAATATGAAAAAAAAAACAAAGCATATAGGGGATGGGTGTTGTTGAATGGTAAGGCCTACGACTGCTAAACACAAATGTCCTGTGTTTGTATTCTGGGCTCAACATCTCTAAGTCTACCCAGCTCTGGTGGATGCCTAAGTCACATTAGGGAAATTAAAGCTGTTGGGCATAGTGCTGACCACTTGCTGAGGTCATTGAAACAGAAGAAGTTGAGTTCATCTAACTCCATGTGTCTATGGCATGAATAAATGATTTTTCAATAGAAATACTGCAGTTTAATACTGTGCTGTTTAAACAGAAATACTGAATGTAATAATCTTGGCAACATTGTTGTTTCAATAGGAAGCTTTGAATGACATGAACGAAGAGCTGCAGGAGAATGCTAAAGCCACTGAGCTGGAACTAAGAGAGGATGTGGACATGAAAAATATCAAACTTCTGGAGGTAACCAGCATAAATCTAGTCATATATTAAACTTTTGGAGGTAACTAGCATTGATCTAGTCTTATATTAAGCTTAAATAGGTTCCTGATCTCAAACTAGTCTTACACAGAAATCTTGCAGTGCTAAATAAATGAAAAACATGTTCTTTAAATATCTTTTGTATCATGGATTATTAAATAAATACTAAAATGTTATTTACAGCTTCAAAGAAAATTGGATGGAACTCAAGAAACATTTGCTGAATATGACAAAACCTTAAACAGGTTTAGAGAGCTTGTGGCTAATCTTCAGGTAAATATTTCACACCAGCTTGAGTAATGGCAAATAGGATAGTTTTGAGTAATGGCAAATAGGATAGTTTTGAGTAATGGCAAATAGGATGGTTTTGAGTAATGGCAAATAGGATAGTTCATTCAGTAAATGAGATACACTAAAGGCCTCATTATGTTCTTGTGTTGTTTTCAGGAGCAGCTTCGCAGCAAACAGCAAGAGAGTGAAACTAAAGTAGAAACACCAACTGCTGAGCTTATGGACTTCAAGACTAAATTTGCTGAAACTAAAGCTTACGCCAAAGTATGTGGTTTATCTATTTTAGGCTTAAGTAATTCTATCAACTTTTCAAATTTAGGCTGCAGGTAAATTTTCCAGAATATTCAATATGGGATTTTATTTGTTTAATATGTTAATTTTATTTAAGACCATTGATATGGAGCTGAGAAGACTGGATGTCCAGCAGGCTAACTCTCACATTAAGATGTTGCTCTCATTTATGCCTGAAGCTTTTATGGGCAGAGGAGGTAATTTTATTGGAATAAATAAGACTCAATGAGACATAAAATCAAATGTATTCGTTAAAAATTGTTGAATAACATTGCAGTATTTTTGTTAACTGCCTGACTCACACAGACGTAAATAAATTTCCTATGTTCCTATGTTAGACAAGTAATTAATCTTGCCATACGTGATCTGTATCCCACAGGTGATCATGACGCCATATGTGTTCTTCTCATGATACCACGTATCATTAACAAGGCTGAGCTTCTAGCTTCCCAAGTCAAAGATAAGGTAAATATTCCATGCAACCCATCATGGCTAACTAGTTTCTTTTCACTTGTCTTTATAGTTTTGTTACTCACTCATTTATATGGGTATAACCTGCTTGAGCAGTGATTTAAACCCAGGCAGGTATTAGAATAGAGCATTCTTGTCCCACTCATTGCCAGATGTGAGTCCCATGTGTTTCCATCAGTCTAGTTATTCCTACTGATGTGCATTGCACAACCTTGTACATAAATTAGGGGCAGTTCAGTCAGGGGATGTTATACAGTGTTGAGTCTGGTATTCATCTCATAACTTTTGGGTTAGCAAGTATATGACCTACCATTTGGCTATGTTTTTTCATCTGATTTTGGTTACAGGCATTATAATTTGATTTCTTTTACCAATCGAAGTCCTAAATTATGAAAAAGCTTCTCTTAAATTTTTGCTAGAATCATAATAGAATGTTTCCATAAAATTGTACATGTTTTACAGTACGATGTTGCTAGAATTATAATAGAATGTCTCCACAAAAAAATGTACATGTTTTACAGTACGATGTGACAGATAAAATAGATAGAGACCATGTCTTAAAGAGCCACAAAGCTGAACAGTGTAGCTTTGCCAACCATCTGAACTTGTTACTTAACATTCTGTATGGCACCATGAAGCAATATGAGAGGTAATTTACATACAACTGAATGTGAGAGGTCATTTACATACAACTGAATGTGATAGATCATTTACATATAACTGAATGTGAGAAGTAATTTACATACAACTGAATGTGAGAGTTAATTTATATACAACTAAATGTGAGTGATAATTTACATACAACTGAATGCCACCATTTCATGAATAAAAGAACATTTTGAGTTATGAATTTATGCATAGCATTAGTTCATAATATAAAAGAACTCTTGTGAATTTTATAACTAGTTTCAAATTTTTAACTTTTTATATTAACTATTTTGTTTAAAGAAATTGTGTCACAAGTGGATGTAACTCTGTTGTTTAATGTTTCAGTGCCCTGAACTCCTGCAGCACAGATTTGTTTCTAAAAATAGGAACACTACTGCCTGAGATGTCTGCTCATGAAAAGTCTGTGGACTATTTTATTGACATGCTGAGGAAGGATCAGGTACTGGGGGCATTTAGAGAGGGGTTGGGGGGGGGGGGGGGCATTTAAATAGTGAACTTGTTGGGGGCATTGGGGAGGGGGGGGGGTCCAGAGACAGAGTTGCTGGATGGTTTTAGAGAGTGAGTGCTTGTTTGGGAAAGGTCAGGAAATCTAGGCTTTCATAGAATATGTAATTGGCAGAGTTTTTACAGTCTGATATTGCAATATTTATAAATGTTACTTACATACTCTATGACTTTTATTCTTTCAGCTGGATGAGACGGTTTCTGTTGATCTTTTGGAAAAGTCCATCAGTTTCTTCCAGGTAAATCATCAATGTTTTCAACCAGTCAGTTTAGTAAACTCTAATTTAAATTATAATTCTAGCTATAATAGAAATGTTCACTCAATAACATAATACAAATTTGTATTCAAACATAAATATTGCTTGTTGTTGTGATGCTTGTATGCCACTGTCTATGGTAATGTTCCAGCAACTCTACCATGTCCACCTGTCTCATGAGCGAATTGACTGCACCCATATGATGTCCAGTGATGTCCGCATTGTTCTCAGTGCATGTGATGCCATCTCCACTGAAATAGCCAGACTCAAGATACTTCTGCTGGTGATATTCTTTTTGCAATGTTTATATGACATCTTCTTTTCTAAAAAAAATATTTTCAGCATAAGTTTTTCAGATAATGTTATTTAAAAAAGTATATAACAGTTTAAAATAAGCTGATTTTGCTTACAAAGAAAATTATGGAATGTAGGCCTAATTAAAGCAGTGATGATAAAAATGTTAGAAAATTAAAAAAAAATTTCCAATACTTTCATAACTAAGGATTTAACTATTAATTTGAATAAATCAAGTAATTAAAAGTTTAGCCCTTTTTGTTACTCATTAAAGCTTATTAAGTTTTATTAAGTTAGTTCATAAATACAACTTTATATTTTCCTCTTGTATATAGCCTGGTCAGGAACAGAGCAACTTCTCAATACTCCTGAAAGACCTGGAAACCTGTAACAATGACACTCGCACATGTGCTAGAAAGGTTAAGTCTTTAATCATTCCATTGGCTAATTACTTCATTTTATTTTTTACAAGCCATTGTGCCAACACATAAATAGAATAATATTTACTCTGATAAACATAAACTTTTTATTTCTTGATTAGATCAAGAGAAGGCTACCCCAAGAAGGATCAGCTGCAACAACCCCCCTGAAGTTTGGAAAAGAGGTGGCTCAATTTTTAAAATTTAATTTTGTCTTTTTAATTTCTCTTCAGTAAGTTAGCTGAAGTTTGGAAAAGTGGCTGCTCAATATTTTTTAATGTATTATTATTCCTGTTTAGTAAGTTTACTTGAAAAAGTTTTCAAAGTTGCTCAATTTATTGTAAAGTATGGTAAAATCAACCGTAAAAAAAACTGACCATCTTTATAAAAAAAACAGATCCAGGATCTCTTAACTGATTGTCGTAAACAAATCAGCTGTGTGGCTCGACTGTTGAAGATTGTTGCCACTGGTGCAATGCAGCAAGCAGCTATCATGACAGGTAAACTTTCTTGTCAAGTAATTCTGACTCATCTGTTTTGACCAAAACATGTAAAAAAAATTTAAAGACAAATTTGATGCTTGTGTATTTTCATCAAAAGTTTTTTTCTTCAGTGTTTGAGAATGGTGTACCCCATTCAAACCAGTATTTCTTTGAATGGATTTACTGGACAAATAATTAGCAAGTATATTTGGCCTACCACTATTAAAAATGTGAGAAAAGAGGTGTAGATTTTGTAATAATTTTCAAACATACCTTTTTAAATTTTAAAAATATTTTTTTCGTATAACAAGGTTTTATTTTGAAAAATTTCCTCAAAGTGTCAGTTTTTTAAATTAATTTTTTCATTAACTTATCTTTATAAATTAGAGTTTACTTTGAAAAGTACTAATAAATTAAAACAATCCATTGTGCTCACATTTTTGGAATACAAATTTAAAGAAAAATAAGCATCAACAACCACTTTCTTTAGGAAAAAATGGGTGATACATATTATCTAAATAAGGGCTGTATTTTTAAGGACATTAAATTTCTAGGTGTCATAAAAATTATGAGAAAAATCATGTAAATGCAAAATATGGGACAAAAAGGTTTCTTTGGGTTTCCTCTACTGTTGACCTTGTGATCTAATTATAGCTTTTAATTTGTCATCAAGGTGGAAAACTGTTGGAACTGGAAAAACTTTTAGGTAAAACAAAATATTCCAGTGTATTATTTTCTACCAAACTGAATATCTCAAGAATGAGCATGTTTTAATGAATGGCTTTAGATTCTATCAAAGAGTATAATTCATTTCTTTTCTCTAGCGGGAATGTTCTTACCTCCTTCATTAAAGATGCTGTAAGCTAGTGTATTTTTCTATTAGACTTAAAAGGCATGCCATGATAACTTGTGCTAACAGCACGAGAACTTTTGGTGTTATTTAACAATAGCATCTTTTAAACTAGAGAGTGTTACCATATGTGTCTGTTTCTAAAAAACGATTTTGCTGTTACTTCATTTTTTTCCCATTCATTCATATTTAATATTGATCTGATCCTGTTTTTATATTTTTAATTGTACTTTTTTTTTTAATTTGTCATGAAAAAAATGTTTGTAAGTTGTTTTTTTTTTAGATATTTATAAATATTTATCTAGTTGATAGACTAACAGGTGTAAGCTATCACTTAAAACTTTAACTTAAATGGTAGAATCATGTTTTCTCACTTCCATCATTACTGTACAGCAGTAGATGTAGATCTCATAAAGTAGAAAAATAGAAAGCGCCTGCAGTGAGTGTGAGTAAATTAATCTCAGATGGTGGCTAAGGTTGTGACTTGCGACGACTTAATTATTCAAATTTATTCCCCATTTCAGAGTCAGGTTCTAAAGCAGGTAGCTTTTCCTTTATTTCTGACATTTTTTCTCTGTATAGTGCAAGTAGTTTAGTCATACTTGTTGCATTGTCAGGTGGGTTTTTCTCTCTGATTCTAAGAGGCAACTGGGGTTGGTGGGTTTGTTATTCTGAGTATAAGCAGCCACTGGTTGGAAGTGGGAGGGGGGGGGGTTCTATATTTTATAAAAGAATTTATGTTTTCTTTTATTTTTATATGGGAGATGGGTGGGCATTCTTATTTTCAATGGAAGGTGCATGTTCTATATTATCTTCCTAGAATGATTGTGTGTGCCCCCTGTGTTGTCTTTTATAAAAGACAGCCATGACATCCCTACTGAGTAGGGTTGACTTCTGTCTTTGTCTTTAATAACCTTTACATCTCATGGGGGAATTGTTATTTTTGTCCATCTGAAATGTTTATTGACAAACTACTGCAACACATTTAGACATGTGGTTTGGTATTTTATTTCTATCTACTCAGACTAAAGGTAGAAATTTCTCTATAACAATAGTCCAGCCTCTTTTAATCCTTATTAAATAGCTTTTTGCATGCTACATATATTTATATACCTGTATTTAATGGTAGATTTTTTTGTACATTATTTTCTTACACTAAGTGGTCAATCCTATAATCCAGGGAACTAACAAACATGTGTTGTCCAAGTTTGTTCTATAAAATGTGTCTTATATAGAGTTATTATAATTATGATGATCCGAATAAAAGCTGTGAAAAAAAAAAGAATGCTCTAAAGTAAAATATGATATCAAAATTAATCTAAAGACACTATCTCACCTGAAAGTTCCTAACTGGCAACTATGAACAACAAAATATGCCTTCAGACTTGGTGTAAATTGGTTGTTTTATTTTATTTATTTTTTTTTTACATTTTTTTTTCATATTAGTCACATTTTTCAAATTGTTTGCATAAACATTTATTTTCAGTTACTTTTTCTAAATGTAAATTTTTATTTCAGAACCTGATAATTATTTCATTCTTCTCATGTAAGGAGCAGCAGCATTAAAAAATAATTTTTTAAATAACCCTGTATAATTCAAGACACTGAAACTTAAATGTATTTCCTAGATCAAATTTTTTTTTTAGCTTCATTAGTTTCTGTATACTTGTCAAAATGAACGTTTTTTTTTTACTAGTCAGTCATTCTTGTATGCAGAAAAGGGACAAGACTAATAATATAAAGTTTATATTTTAGACCTTTCAAGGATTTTAATTTAAAACTATAAAAAATTTTAATTACTATTTAATTACTTTGTCCACTGGGCTTTTTTGTCTGTATTTTTGTTAATTTAATTAAAATAATTTAATTTGATACTATTTTTTTTATTCAACTTATTCCATCCATCTTTTTTTTTTAAATTTTAATTATTACACCAGAATCACTCAAAATGTTCACCATTTCAGTTTTTTTTACAATCTATTTTTAGTAATGTAAAATTTGTAAAAACTGTTATGTTTTTTTTACATCTATATTAATCTTCTTCTGATCATTTTTACAAAGCTATATTTTCACAACTTGTTGTTGTAAATTATAATGTATTTCCCCAAACATCCATTATTTTCTGTAAGTGTTTCAGGTTGTTTATGTACAGCCACAACTCATGTCCGTCAATTAGACACCTGTGTATGTTCTGTTTGTCCTTACTGATATCTGCTTGACGCCACCAATAGCTTGCTTTTTAAGGGCTCATATTCAAGAAAAGCTTTGTTATATATCTATGAGATAAAGCAGTCTTTAACACCTTGTATACTAGCAGCCTAAAGCCAATGATGATAGACTATTAATAGCATGTAGCTCAGTATTGTTCACTCTGTTGTAGCTAATCATTGCCAGGTTTTTCCCATCTAAAGCATGCCTGGTTTAAATACTGCAACCATGCAGGACTTGGTTTACATGTCATTGAGTAATGAAAAACAATGAAATAACAATGTCTGTTTACATTTTATCTGTGTTAGTTTAGCAGAGGTGGTGATGACTATAAAATGTGTACTGTGTTGAATGAAATTACTTGCCATCCATACAGATCGTGAAGGCCTTCTACCAAAGAAGATGGAGGAACTAGCCCAACAAGCGGCCCATGAGATTTACAGCAAAGACAATACTGATGCTTATGAGAGCTTAAGGTAATTTGTTTTTCAAAATTAGAGGTTCTTGTCAGAAAATCTTAAAGTAGTAAAATACCATTGAATTGATGAATGACGATAGTAATAGTTTTTTTAACTGTAACTGATGTCTTAACAAAATCTTGCAGGCTTTCATTTGGTGTGGTAGTGGGGACCATGAACAAGCTGGCCAATGCCATGGAAAATGGAGAATATGATTTTGATGGCACACATGAGAAGAAGGTGGGTTCTCAATTTTTCATTGAACGGCAGCAAAATATTTCATCTTTTGTCATCTACAGTTTGTCTAAGCAAGGAACTGCTGCTAAACATATGCCCAGCTTTTATCTTGTAGCACTTCTCATAAGTTTTAATCTGGTTTAACTAATCATCTTCTATTATGTCAGTGTTCATCAAAATGGCAGAGATGTAGAGGAAGGAAAACTCTTTTTCTCTTAATAGAAAAATTAGAATATGAAAACCATTTGTGAAAAACCTGTACCAAAATTTTGATATGAATTCCTTCCAGAGACAAGTCCCACTAAAACAGAGAGCCGATGCCATCAAGTCTCAGGCGCAAGATGTGGAAGCCATCAAGCTTAAAGTTGACGCTAAGGAAGAAGAAGTCAAGGAGTTGAAGAAACAGCTCAGGCTTAAGGTACCAAATCCATCAGTAATTTTTATAAGGATAAGTTAATTTACTTGATCCTAAGTTAGTTGACTTCATATGATAATTGACTTAAGGATGAGATGGGTTAATCAGTCTTAAAGTTTGATCTTGATGCAGCAGTGATGTTTCAAATCCTTATTTAATTAGTTAATTAGTATTTTTTGTTAGTGTTATATAATTGCACTTATGTTTTTAACTATCATCCTAACTATGTTATAGATAATTTATTATCAACCGACCAGTGTTGATAGTATTGTATAGGCAATGTTTTAGATGTATTATCAACTTGCTGTTTATCTTGAACTTTCAGCAAGAAGAGCTGAGTGAACAACAAATTCGTATAGGTCTTGTTGAGAAAAAGCTGGAGAACAAGCACAAAGAAACAGAAGATGAGTTGAATAAACTACAGCGCAAGTTAGATGAAAGTGCTTTGCTCATTAAGAAAAAAGAAAAGTTAGCATATTTTCCTTTACTAACTTTATTTTATATTAATTTCAAATGATAATAAACTTGAAGCTTAGCTATATTTTATCTTATGTATTATTTGTTTGATATTTAATTTAATTATTTTTTTATTTTTATTTTCCTGGATATTTTTAATGTATTATTTTAAAATTGTATTTTTCATGTGTTTGTAATTGATCTATTTCAGAGAGTTTGAGGAGACATATGACACTCTACAGAGTGATATTGACACTCTGGAGCAGGAGAAGACGGAGCTGAAGGAGCGTCTGAGGGTGCTGTCCAAGAATACTTTACTGCAGAACATGTCCAGGCAGTCATCTGGTCAAGGGGGTGAGCTCATGCTGTGTTTACATGGTCAATCAGTCTGTGTGTGTCACTGGACTTTGTTCTTTGAGAGTGTGTGACTAGCCATTTGCTTTTGAGTGTGTGTGACTGGCCATTTGCCTTTGAGAGTGTGTGACTAGCCATTTGCCTTTGAGAGTTTGTGACTGGCCATTTGTCTTTGAGTGTGTGTGGCTAGCCATTTGCCTTTGAGAGTGTGTGACTAGCCATTTGCCTTTGAGAGTGTGTGACTAGCCATTTGCCTTTGAGAGTTTGTGACTGGCCATTTGTCTTTGAGAGTTTGTGACTGGCCATTTGTCTTTGAGTGTGTGTGACTAGCCATTTGCCTTTGAGAGTTTGTGACTGGCCATTTGTCATGGAGATTGTGTGACTGGCCATTTGTCTTGGAGATTATGTGACTAGCCATTTGCCTTTGAGAGTTTGTGACTGGCCATTTGTCTTGGAGATTATGTGACTAGCCATTTGCCTTTGAGAGTTTGTGACTGGCCATTGGACTTTAAGAATGTGTGTGTCTTTAAGGGTATGAATGGAATTTGGTTTTTGAGAGTGAGATTGTCTTGCCTTTAGTATTCTTGAACTGGTCTATAAGATTTTGGTAAACCCTGGGTATTTTTTAAATTAGCTTAAAAAATTGTGATCAACCCTTGCTATTTTTATAATTATGGTTATAAGATTGTATACATTATTAGCCCTTGGTATTTTTCTGTGTGATCTATGAGACTTTTTAGTGTTTTCACTTTGCCAGATTTGATATCTTTATGATTGTTAAATTTGTCTGTTTTAGCTGAGAAAGGAGGACCCACTGCACTGGCTGGTAGTGCCACAACACCAGAGTCACCATTACTAGCCCAACAAGTAATACACTTTTAATTCTTTTAGAGTTATCTCTCTTTATTGGATTCATTCCTTTAGAGTTATATCTCATTATAGCAGTCTTACTTAATGCCAGCTCTAATGATTTCATAAATAGATAACTAATTTAAAAATTTAGACTTGACAAAGCAACAGAATAAATAGAGAAAATTTTATTTAATGTTGAGACAGTCTTAAATATTTAAATAAGAATAATTTTTTTTTAAAGATGTCAAAAATATCTTCATTAATTGTGTTTAATAAATATACTTCAAAATAATTTTAGCTACTAATAAAATTTGAGTTGAAAAAACAAGAATTCATGTTTGTAATTCTAACTTTACTTAGGTGGTTGCTATAAGAGAAGCCTTGCAGTATAACAAACAAGAGTTGATTCAACTCAAAGCTGAAAGAATGAAGGTAGTGTCCTACAGTTATTGTGTGTTTGCTTAATTAAACACTTTTTTTCAAACATGTTTACTGAAAAATTATAGCATTGTTACTTCCCCTACTTTTTACAGAAAAATAATGGCTTCCTTACCTCCCCTACTTTTCACAGAAAATAATGGCTTCCTTACCTCCCCTACTTTTCACAGAAAATAATGGCTTCCTTACCTCCCCTACTTTTCACAGAAAATAATGGCTTCCTTACCTCCCCTACTTTTCACAGAAAATAATGGCATCCTTACCTCCCCTACAAGTGCCAAAGAAGCCTGTTGGATTGGCCAGTGCCACAGGGCATGTTGCCATTGGTGAAGTGACAGATCCCTGTAAAACTGACCTCAACAAACTGGTTAAGAGAACTAAAGATTTATTGCAAGTAAGTTGGGATTACAATCCTGGATAGTTTTAATAAAATCTAGGATAATTATCATTCAAATATACTCATATTCAAATATATTAAAAATCAAGGGTTGTAGATCCTGATAAGATGTATAGAATAATTGCAATATTGGAAATGCTATTAAATTTAAAACTCCTTTGATGCATATTTTGTTAACATTGTCTCTAGGAGGCCAACAAATTGAGTGCTTGTCCTAAGGTCATTGACATCTCAACCAGAAAAACAGGTAGACATTTTATCTCTCAGTGTAGACAAAATGGATGTTTTATTGTTTAGTTTACTGTGTGGGGAAAATCTGTATATCAGGTGGTTGAAAGTGAAAGCTTATCCGCTTTAGTTTTTTGTTTTTATCTTTTTCAGGTACAGCACCAGTCACTAACAATTCAGGTCCTATGGGCCAGTTAGTGAAGAGAACTGTAGAAATTAACTCTCTAGACAAGTTCACCCAGGAGGTAATAAACAAACTTTTATTGACTGGTTATCAATTTGATGTTAGAGTATATGATTGTTTAAAAAACTTCTTTAGATGATTGTTTAAAGAGCTCCTTTAGTTTAAAGTTAAGGTCAGAATAATTATAACTTCAATAATTTCACAGCTTCAGGTTCAAATTACAACTTTGCTGGCTGCCACTAGGACAGGTGGTCAAGTCCGAACAGATTTTTCCACTTTCCCTACGCCACAGTTCGCTAAAGTAAGTTTAAATGTTCTAAAATTTTTATGAAAAGATTTTTTTAAATGTGCTAGTATTGGTAATTTTTTTAAAATTATTTTTAGAAAATTTTAACTGGCTATCTACCTATAAGTTTTTCTTGTTTTCTATTTCAACAATTTTTAGAAATTTTTAAAGTGTCAAGCAAATTTTTATAACAAAAATTATCTCTGTACTATTTCAGATGCTACACGAGAAGACAAGTAATAGTGTAAAAGTGGGAACCATTAAATTTCCAACATCTTGTGGCAAAGGAGAAGTCATTCCCATCAGCATACAACCAGACCAGCTTAGAAATATTCACCAAAAATTAGTTATGTAAACATATTTGATTTTTAAATTGCTTGTACACTTTTTGTTATACTACCCAATAGCTGCGTAATTTTTAAATCTTAATTCTGGAGGCTAAAACATTCACATACATTAAAAACTTTTCCCATTTATTTTTTTTGGAGATCTATGGTATAGATTAAATCTAGCTTTAAAAGCTACTAAATATTGTGTGTCAAATGAAAATTTCATTAGATGAGTTTAATTTTTCAATGACAATTGAAACAAAATGTATTGGTACCTTCTGGTTGAAAACCATTTTTATACTTTAAAGCATTTTCAATAGAAGATGAACAAAAGCATCCAAACAAATCTCTAAGATTTTACCATGAAGTTGCATTACTATTGGTGATGTATTATATATTTATATAAGGTTACAATAAATTGTACTCCGGTAGTTATTTTGTCTGCTGGTTACACCCATATAAATGTTCTGCTTTGGGTACAGTGCAATTCCTTTAAATTTTGTGTGCATTGATGTGTGGTTAGGTGGTCTGGTGAAGATTTTAAACTTAATTTGAAAAAATGTAGACATAATATTGTCAGTTGTATTATTGAATAAAATGAATAATGCAATAACTTTATTTTAAGTCCAATACCAGAATTATCTTGCACATTTTGCTAGTTATGAGTAGTCTGAATTCTTTGTACCATTTGTAAAGGTATTTTATTAGACAAACTAGTTATTCTTCTCCCCCTTTATTTATTTACAAAAAAATAAGATTACAGAATTAATTTTTTGAGTAAACAGCTTTAGATCAATCTTTTAATGTTATTGTTTGTCAAATTTATTATATTAGCTGTTTATATTTCGTCCTCTACATATTTCGCAAGAGGAACAGGTACATTTAAAATAATTTACTTGTACTATTTTAACAGCTTTATATTTTGAACAAATAATAATTAAAAACAGAATTACTTGAGTTAACAGTCATAATCATTTGTTAATTTAATTTACACATAGAATTATAAATAATTTTGGTTAGTCTTATCCAAGGTTAATTGTTTTGTCTTTCAGCTTTTGAGAAATTTATATCAATTGTCCCATATATTCTATAAACATTTGACGGTATTTATCAGCCATCTTTCTTCAGCTTTGGTCATTAAATGTAGTTGGTCAGCCAAACAATGGTCTTGTTTTGTTTATTATTATAGTGTTATTGGCCAATTGTTATTTTTTCTTTATTAATGTGAATGTTTATTGTGTTTGGTCACTTGGCCAAAGCTCAGAGGACTTGACAGAGCGAATGAATGACCATTTAACCAGGAACTATTCTATCAACTCTTGATCAATTTACTAAAAAAAAAAACCTCACAAAATAAGGCACCAAACTATTGTATTTATCAATTTATTACATCACACTGTCCAGATAGTATACAAGAATTAATTACATGAAATTCATTTAAAAACTTTTAGAGATTTAATTTAAATCTCAATATTAAATCAAGTACATATTTCTGTGGAAGCAGCTTCCCCGATGAATAAAATGGTAAACTTTAAAAAAAAATATTTCATCTATTATTACCGGTATTAGCAACAAAAACAAAGATATCACTTTAATTTTACTCTGTCCTTGAACACCTTTACACTGGAAATTTTGTTGACCTTCTTGTCAAAAGTGGCTCTTAAATTATCTTCTGAATAGTTAGCAGCATCTTGAGCAGCAAATTCACTGAGTACCTGTGACAGTCATTTTAAAAAGTTGACATTTAGCATATACAGAAAAGGATAAAATAAATTCTTTCAAATTTCAAACTTATTTTATATTTTGATAATATAAGAAGTACAGACAAAATATCTATTATATATAAATATATTTGGATTCTATATAACACATTTTCAATACAAAAATTACTAGTGACAAGTACCTTTTTACGTAGTTTTTTCAATGACATCTCGCCTTTTGATTCCAAAGCAGCAACAATTGCAGCTTGCCAGTTAAACTTTGTTTTTTTCTTCTTCTTGGTTTCTGTTGGTTCATTTTCTTGATCTTCATCTTTAGGTTCTTCTTCATTGCCATCAGCACCATCTTCAACTCTCTCTAATAAGAAACAGTTATTTTTCTCAAATTAAATTATTTAAAGGGGATGGTGTGGCTGGACAAAAGAACGTATGATTGTAAAATCCACAAGTCCCAAGTTCTGACTGCTTTGCTAAGGGAACGGCAACCCATCTAGGGGAAAAAAAAACTCCAACATAAAACAAATGCTGCTTTGCAGATTGTTCTTCAGCGGACAAAGACTATGGAAGCAAATCTAGCAAGAAAGGCACATTGAGTCTGATTACACCGTTCAACTGACCTTTTAGGGCACCTAACATGTTGACTTAATTGTGCTGGAGAAAATCCATTTCAATTTTACAATTAGGGAACAAAGAAGTATTTTAGAAAAATATTTCTGAATTAAACAGTTTTAAATTTAGTCATAAAAAAAGACAAAAAAATTATAAATAATTTTCTAGAAAATTTGATTTTAGAAAACATGAGCTCTCTATCTGTGAAAATCTATTTTTCTGTTTAAGCAAATGTTATGATAAACTATTTAAGTCATCAGGTTTTAGTTTTAAAAATTAACAAGAATTTAGCCATGCATGTATTTAAAAAAAATGTTTAACAATAGAGAATTATTATTTCAATAAACATATTTACCACTGTCTGCATCTAGCTTCTTTTTCTTCTTTTTTTTTGGTTCAGCTTTTGAACTGTCTTGAACCTCATTAATTACATCATCATCACCAGTAGAATGTTTCCTCTTTTTCCCCTTTTGCTCAACAGCATCTTCAACAGCAACTTTGTCTTTCTTTTCTTTTTTATTTGCCTTTTTACTCCTCTCTTCTTTTTTCTCTCGTTTGCTTAGTTTTTGTGTATTTGGTTCAGGTTCAGCTTGACCATCACTGACTTCATTTGTACAACCATTCTGTTTGGCACTCTCGTCAGATTCTGCCTTTACACCATTCTGATTTGTTTCTTTATTTTCAGAGTTAGCTGCAGATTTGTGTATATTTTGAGCTGCTTTGTCTTTCTGAAATATTAGAAATCAAATAATATATCTCTTAAATTTAAATACTTTCTGAATTATACACGGAGGGGATGACATGGTCAAATGGTTGAACTTATGACTGCTAACACTAAAGTCATGAGTTCAGATCCAGGGCTCAAGCCTGAGTCCACCCAGCCAATGGGTCCCTAAATCAAGTGAGAGATACAAAGACGGCTTGACATTGTGCTGTCCACCCTATCCCCTTGTATGCTGAGGTCACTGAAACAGTTGAACTCAACTTCATCTGCCCCATGTGTCTTGGGCACTACCAGGAAAAGATAATGAATTACAAGATGGATTCATGAGTACCTAATGCACATATTCTAGTCTGCGTTAAACAATGTTCACCCATAACATACTGAAATTAATGTTGAAGTAAAAATAATTAAGTAAGAAAATAAACAGCACCTCAACAGCAGCCATTAACATGTCCCACACTTGCTGTATTAGCCCTGTATTTCTTATCCTTAAACTGTTTACTATAAAATTCTGAAAGAAAATAGAAAGCAAAAATAAATTTAACTTTTTCACTGTTCAACATTTTTTCTGAAAGTGTAATAATTACTAAAAACTAAGTATAGACCACAAGAACCTTGCAATTTAGACTCCATCTGCTAGGATTAAAATTAACTAATGTGTTAAGTAATTAACCTGACAATTAAACTGTTAATACAATTCTTAGGTTAATTTGTTTTATCATATGTAACTCAAAACACTGACCGCATACCTCAAATTTTTGCTTTTTCCTTGGTATATTTGGAAAGTCTTTGAGTTTCACCAATAACTCCTTTAGTTTTGGGTTGGATGCAGACTTTTCTATAGCAGCTTGTACTTTCTGCAAATGAGCAAGAGTTTATCATAGTTAACAACACACAAGGGACGGTTACCTACAGGTTCTATCCACATATACTTCTATCAATTTAATAACCGATGCCTATTGCACCAGAAAAAAAAAACCCAGACATTCAATGTACATTAATTCATTAATCACCAACAGAAAGGTGAGTTAGAACACCCCTTGTTGACAGTCAAGGTGTCAGGGGCATCGATATAGCACCACTGTGCAAAAAGGGGAGTCTGGAGTGCTCCCGGTCACCCGATCCTTGGAGGCTGTGCCTGTTGCAGCTTGTCATTTCAATCAAGTAGTACCCCTTACCTCTGTGAAAGGCACTCATGGGGCCAACATTAAATTTTGTCAAAGATTATAGTAGGCCACTGTATCCATAAAGTATGGCACTCTTTAAAACAAATGTAGGCACCATATTGCTCATGGGGAAGCCTGGGGTGCTACGGGTTACCAGGGAACCAATGGATGCACCTGGTGAAGTTTGACAGTTGAATGAAGCAGTACCCCTGACCAAGGATGCTCAATCAACAGATCCCAGGTACTGAGATAGTGGCTGGGGAATTCTGGGCGCCAAACTACACCCTGCCAGGGCACTGGCCCCCTGAATTTACTTTTGCAGACACCTTCCCAGGTTTATTCTCATCAACTTCCCATTTTCACTGCAATACGGTGGAAGGTGTAGTATTGCATAAAAGACAAAAAGACACAACAAACATACAGACACACTTTCATTTATATATATATATATATATATATATATATATATATATATATATATATATATATATATATATAAGCAAACAAAAGAAGAATTATCAAACCTCGATCCACTGCTCTTGTTTTGCTTCTCCTTTATTTACTTTAGGAACATAACCTTTCCCACAATATTTCTCATTTTCTGACATGCACTTAGTATGGGTCTGGTACTCATTTCCCCTGGTAACATAAATTTTAACAAATTATAACAATAACTTAATTAAGCTTCTTCTATAAAGGGGTTGTAACAAATTGGTGTAGGCCTAGGCCCTAAATTCTAAATATTAAATATTTAATAAATATTATTGTGTTTAGCCTAGCACCTAGTCAGACTTTTTTTGAGTGATTTGGGCTTAACTTGGTAATCTATCGTTTTAGGTATGTAAAATCATCGGAGGCCCAATTTTTTTGTTTAACTTATTGTTAGAGATTTAAAATAAAATCGATTACGATTAGGCCATAGGGCCTAGTTACTTAGTAGTACTAGTTAGGCTAGGCCTAATGTCTAATGACTCTTAGTCTTAGTCTAATGTAATGTCCCTATTGAATAAAATTTATCAATAGGGCCTACATTACTATTTATTTTAGTCATTAGTCATAGCTAGATCTATTACTAGATCTAGTAATGATTAAAACTTAATCTCTGCTCGTCTGTTGTACTGATGTCAACTGATGATGCGATTGATGTGAATTGTGATGATGGCCTACCAAAAATCTTTGCCGCAGTCAACACATGACAAAACATTACACTGTCGACATCTCAACAAATGTTTCTCTACTTGATTTTTTTTCAAGGCTTCGCAACAAGCGTTGCAGTTAAAGAAAACCATGTTTTAGCCTATTTTACAGAACCACTTTTAAATTTTAATTGTCAGTACGAAGATTATTATATTATTTATTATGAACTAAAAACAATGCGTGCTCAACTTTAAACTAAAACGTTTAGAGTTGCTGTTCCTGCGTTATCGCTAGATTCTAAATACCCCAACTAGATCAACATTTATATAGGCCAGGCCTATCTAATATCTATCTTATGAAAAAAAAATTCATAAAAAAAACCTGTAAAATAACAAGCTTGTATGTAATAATGCACTAAAAAGTAGAATATAAACGATTCTCTTTAAATATATAATAGTGCACTACTATATTACTATAAAGCAGGGGTCTCCAAACTTTTCAGCCCGAGGGCCGCATAAACTATCAAATGTCAGTGACATGTCAGTTCGGGGGCCAGAGTTTGTTCAAGGTATCTCTTCGGTGTGGTGCCCCCCACCCTGAAGAACTTCTAACCCCGCCTACCCCCCCCCCCCCAAACGAAATATAATTTATATAGAAATATAAACAAATTTCAAGTGTCTCCCTCCCCCCGAAGAAAAAAGTCATAAAGAAACACTATCGGGGGACAACACACTCTATGGAGGTCATTTGCTTGCAATTCAATGACCTCCAGCTGCTGTTCATCTTTGTAACTGGCCACATTTGCATTATATGGGTTTTGAAATAGTCTCACTTCTACATTTGAATCCAAGTCAGAAAACCGTTATTGAAACTGCACCTGGAGGTCTTTGATGATCTCGCATACAAATGACGTGGGGAACTCAGTGGTTGTTTCAGCCGTAAAGACCTTGCACTGCTGAGAGTGGGTCAAGTCGTTGGCCTGTACTCGTTCCAAAAACAAGACAAATCTGGATCTGAAGACCTTTAGGTGAACGTATAGATCAGATACTAGATTTCCCTCTCTTGTAGTTTTATGTTCAAAAAATTTTAATGACTAGTGATTATGTCTGCAGCAGAGACCAATTTATATACCTAATCTTCATCAGACATTAATGGCTGTGGCTTGCCTTTACTTTCCAGGAAGTCACCTATTTCTTTCCTTAACTTAAATACTCTGCTCAGAACTTTCTCGCAAATTAGCCATCTTACTGCTGTGGAATATGCTAAATCTTGCGATTCTGTGTTTGTATCTTTCAACGTGTCTCTGAACTATCTATGGTTGGATATCATCTCCGGTAACAGTGCCATATTTCTATGTAGGGAAACCAGCTATTGTGTTATGTTCATGTCTTCATCCACACCTCTAATGAATACAAGAAGTTTAGAGGTGGAACAGCTGTCCAGCGACTCATCCATGGCAATCGAAAAATATCGAAATTCACTTGCATTTCTCGCTATTTCAGTCCCGATGTTTTCACCAAGGCTGCAACACGGTGGGCAATTTTATTTGCACCCAAAGGTACATTTTCAAATTGTTTTGAAATTTCTATGCAAAGTTCCTCAGCCACCTCTAACAAACATTTATTCAGTAGACAAAAAGATTGCCGCGGGCCGTAGTTTGGAGACCCCTGCTATAAAGAAAAGCGTGGGTCACTTTATTATCCATTGGATACCTTTACTAATATTAAAGAGGAGTTTAAACAGTTTGTTTAAACACGAAGGGACGGGCAAACGTTTGGAACAAAACTTATTAAAGTATTCAGTACTTCGGCTAGCGCTGCTAGATTAATACAATTAGTAATCAAATAATATGCCTATAATCATTGAATATTTACGTTACTTACATCAATAGGAGCATTGGCCTTGCATGCCTGAGGGGGTCGTCCATAAATGACGTCACACTCGTAGGGGGGAGGGGGGTCCGTAATTGTGTGACGGTGTGTGATGAGGGGGAGGGGGGGGGGGGGGGGGTTCAGCTGGTGCGACGTCACACTTTTGCATTATAAAAAAGCAATGTTAGAAATCGAATTTTAGACGTTATTTCGCGTTTTAGAAAACGGTTTTAATAAATTGTAATAGGAATTGATTAAAATACTCCATTTTGACAGAGTTCAGACATGATTTTAGAAAAATATCGATGTTTAAAAAAAAATTCAACTGCAATTATGAGGGGGGTTGTAGGCTGAGGTGTGACGTCATTTTAGGGGGGGGTATGGTTTTTGTGACGACGTGTGACGGAGGGGAGAGGGTGAGGTAAAAATCGTCCAAAAAAGCGTGACGTCATTTATGGATGACTCCTGCACTTTTGAAAATTTGGTAAGTCTGTCTCATTAGGCTACTTTGATGTTTTCAGCTTCAAGTACGACTCCAGATTTATTTTTGTTAGTTGGCTTCTTACTAAAACGCTAGCTCGCACGAATATGTTGACCCGAAGACCGTCAGCACTCCAAATGCTAACTTCTTCACCGCACTGTAACATTCTGAAAGACAATTTCATGCGTTACATAGGATGCCTCAACTCGCGGCATTTCCTTAAGAGGTGTCCACTTGTGCAGCGTAACTTGCAACTTGCATGCTTTTCTTCTAATTTGCTGTTGAGTTCTGTGAACTTAAAACTCCAGAAATATTTATTTTTCAAATCCCGCAAATACATTTGAAGCGAACCAGCACCAATTCCAAATGGCTCAATGTTGATCTCATCTGTATTTGTGTTGAGATGATTAATATGAATGTGAAGAGTATAAGAGTACTTGCGTTTGTTTTGAATAGCTCAAATCTCTCAGTCAATCCATCCTTCATTTTGTATGCTGAAGTAATTCGTGTCAACATTTGCATTGATTTCATCGCGATATTGCTTCAGATTGTCAAAATGAAGTAATTTACCGCTCTCTATGTCTTTGACAAAAGTAATTTATTTTCGAAAATAACACCTTTTTGAAGCAAGGCATAGGCTGGGTTTTCCTTTCCTTGCGGTTTAACATTTAGGTTATTTAGTTTCTTTGTGATATTCGCCATGATGCTGAATTTTTGTAGCCATTTAAATATCTGCCTACAATTCGGGGATAAAATGCCATTTTCATTGAAGAATGTTTCTACTTCACTCCAACCTGAAGCAAAACGTTTAAATACGTTGCCCTTGGAAAGGCGTCGCATTTTATTTATTGTGTACGACCAGAGTTTCTTCCAGGCATCTCTTCGGGGGGGGGGGGGGGGGCGTTGTTTCCCCCCCCCCCCCCCGAAATTTTTTTACCGCCCCCCCCCCCCCCCGAACGAAATGAAATTTATATAATTTATATTGAAAATATATACTTTTAACAGTGTCCGCCCCCCCCCCCCCCCCGAAGGAAGTCTACCGCCCCCCCCCCCCCCGAAAATTTCAAGTGCCCCCCTCCCCGGAGAAAAAAGTCTGGAAGAAACACTGTGTACAACATGGTCAGAATACTGGCATAGCCCCTACTCTCCACTCCACCTATTCTCACAGTTCACTGCTGAGTGTTTTTATCCTGTTTTAATGTTACTTTTTTGCAGTATAATATATTTTATGAGTTTTGAAAATAAAATTTATAATATTTGCGCATGGAACTTGATGGAACAAGAAAGCACACATCTTGGCATCAAAAGAGCCGCAAGCGGCTCGCGAGCAGCAGGTTGCCAACCCCTGTTTTAGACCCTTTAAAGTTACGCAAATATTTTATTTGTCATTAACGTGTTATATTTTTCCACGTTTTCTTTAACTTGCTTTCGCCTCTGTTTGTTTGTTTGTTTTTCCAATCAAATCTTGCGATCGACATTTCTGGCACTTCCCAGTTAGCTAGCGCGCTGTAATTTTCAGGGAAGCTTTGTTTTGGGTGACAATAGAATATTCAATTGTTATTATTACTAAATTGATCCATGGAAACATTTTATTGATCATTTTAGACCGCTATATAATTGTACAAAAAACGTGGGGGAAAAAGGGACATAACCCAGTAACTGTAATTTGATGAAAACAAGGTTCGGTACTCTCCCTCTTTTTGCTTACTGAGTAGTTCTCACGCGGTGTTTGTGTACAAACAACCAGAACGTAACAACTGGTGGCCAGTATGGGGGAGACGATATGGTCGAGTGGTTGGGTACACGATTGCTATCCCACTCGGCGCGGGTTCAAATCTATGTGTTCTAGTCAGTAACGTATTCACACAACGTGTTTTTTACGAGTTGTCTTCGTTTACCCAAAAAAAAAGTGAAAAGATAAAATCGATAGCAAGATTTTAATGCAAACAAACAGACAAAGACTAAAAAGTAGAAAATAATAATCATTAAAAAAGTTTTTAAAAACCCACGTTTTCTAATTGAATTAAAAAGTAGAAAATAAATGCTATACATCACAATAATGCAAGCGATCACTCACCATAAGCGATGCAAAACGTGGGGCGCCGTGATTTTCTTACAGTTTCTAATACTGTTGACTCTCTACAAGCTCCCTAATAAAAGTCAATAGTATTATCTAATCAATAGTAATATAACTTTTACTTCGGCGCCCCACGTTTTTCATCGCTTATAGTAGAGCAGGGGTCTCCAAACTACGGCCCGCGGGCCGCGCGAGGTCCTCTCATCCGGCCCGCGGTGATCTTTTTGTCCACGGAAAAAAAACGTTTGTTGGAGTTGGCTGAGGAACTTGCTCAGAAAGTAACGACATGCCTTGAAGAAACTGGCCCCCGAACTGAAATTTGATAGTTAATGCGGCCCTCGGACTGAAAAGTTTGGAGACCCCTGTAGTAGAGTGATCGCTTGCATTATTGTGATGTATAGCATTTATTTTCTACTTTTTAATTCAATTAGGAAACGTGGGTTTTTAAAAAATTTTTAAATGATTATTATTGTAAGAGTAAACACCCAGCAATAAATTGTGTACATTTTGAATTAATTTCAACTAATAAAATAGTTTTGTTAAAAATTGCTCATTTTTTAAACTGCTTAGACTTGGGAGAAATATAACTCCAAATTAGAGAGCTAAAATATCTAGACAGACTAGGTTCTAGATCTAGATAATTTAGATATTGATACCTAGTCAAGTTTTAAGGAAGATAAAAACTTGTAATTAGATTAGATCAAAATGTCTAGGAGACCTGCAGGAGTAGCAGCTATTAAAAATAAAAATCTTGCCCAGGTTCACTTCACTTTTTATTTTTTCTTAATATAAAATTGGTGGTGTAGGCCTGTTTATTATTTTTTTTAAAAGAGTAAAAAAGAGTAGCATCCCCTCAAG